CTCAGACCTAAACCCTAAACCCTGTCCTGAGCCCCGAGGTTGCAGGCCAAAAGCGCCACGTGCAGCGCCGAGGCCCCCGAGGAGGTCGGCAGTGCCACCGGCACCTCGTCAAACACATGAACCGAAACCAGCCACACGGTTTAGGGTTTAGGGTTAAGGGTTTAGGGTTTATGAGCCGAAACCCTAAGTACCTGTTCACCTGGGGAATTATGGCATTATGGTACAGGGTTTAGGGTTTCCCCTATAATGGAGAATCAAATGGAGAAGAAAATGGAAAATGAAATGGAAACTGGGATTATAGGGGTTCTAGTCTAAACGCCTAGTATCCCCCGCAGTAACCCCTATGATATGGGATTGAGGGTTTAAGGTTTAGGGATTAGGGTTTAGGGCTAAGGGTTTCGGGTCTAAACTCCTAGTATCCCCCTTAGCAAACTCTATAGTAGTCCCCTATATGAACCGTATATATTCCCCGTTAAGGAGTTTAGACTATGGCTCACATGGACACTAACATAGGAGATTGCTGTTGGGGAACTTAAGATAAGTTACTAAAGTGGGGAAACCAATACATTACTCTATATACCTGATATGGTAATCTAGTTTAAGCTCCTTAACCGCCACCCAAGGCCTTCAGCACCCTAGTCATGTTTAGGGCTTAGAGTTGAAGATTTGGGTTCTGAGTTTTGGGCTTAAGGCTTAAGATCTAGGCAGGATGATTGTACAATGCAGAATCTAATGGAGTAGAAAATGGAAAGCGAAATGGAAACTATTGTCTAGGGTCTGTTTTTTGGAGCCTAGGATTTAAGCTTCGAAGCTTACGGATCAAGGGTTCGAGGTGTATCACAGGATTAAGCTTCAAGCTTCAGGGTTTTTAGGTTTAGGGCTTAGGGATCGGTGTGTAGATTGTTCGGCCCAAGGGGCTATTCTTACGTCTGCCGACAAGCACTGGTTTCATGTTGACTCTTTCCTTCTTCAACCCTATGTGGCGAGGTTTGGGAAACCCGCGCCATAGAAGACCGACCATCTTGCCAGGGCCACAGGACGCCCAGTATGACTCACAAATATGTTCCTCAATAAAGGCCCACTATGGTCTGTTTGCCGTCCCTGTTGCGGTCATCCAAAGATAAGGTTAGGGCTTAGGCCAAAGTACTCGCAAAATAAAGGCGCATCAGAGACCTCGCGGCTGCTGGGGATTACAGGGGTTTAGGGGACTTAGGGTTTAGTGTCTCTTCTTGGTGGGTTCCGTCTGAACGCCGGCATTTCTTCCGGGCGAGGTCGTCATAGGTTCTGAACCCAAAAGCCACCATCACCTAGACGTTGAGAAACAAGATTGCAAAGCAACCTCAAAGCCTAAACAATAAACCCCGCACTTCTGTCTGGAAGCTTCCACCTTAGCCACTGCAGTTCTTGCCACCAAAGTTCGCCTCAATTACAGGTCCCAGGATGTAGAGACCTGTATTATACTGTATTACGACCCCTCTAGAAGTTCAGTATATCATTACTTTGCAGTGCTTGTTGGACTATGCCATAAGGACATCATGTCTAAATAGATTCGTTTACTGCACAAGATGGGGGTTTCTCAAAAACCTCAACCCTAACAAGAGGGGGAACTTAGGGACCCTCGCATTGTCTGGGGATCAGAAGGAGGTTCTAGGGGGTTCCCTATGGACCCTAAGTTGGCCTACCTCCTATAAATCCTACACACTGTAAACCCTAAACCCTGTAAACCCCAAACCCAAAGAACCCTAAACCGTATTAACCCTAAACCCTGTAAACCCTAAACCCTATAAACCCTAGACACCATGAACCCTAAACCCAATGAACCCTAAATCCTATGAACCCTATAAACCCTAAACCTTCCATTTCCCGCCCTAAGCTCCACCCAAGCCTAGGAGGCCTTGTCCTAAACCCTTGACCCCATACACCCTCAATTGCCTCAAAAACCCTAAACCCTAAACCCTCTGAACCAAAACCCTCAACCTTATGAACCGTAAGCCCTAAACCCCATGAACCCCTAAACCCTAAACCCCACGAACCCTAAACCCTAAACCCTATAAACCCTATGAACCCCAAACCCTATAAACCTCATGAACCCTAAACCCCATGAACCCTAAACCCCATGAACCCCAAACCCAAAAAACCTCATGAACCCTAAACCCTAAACCTTATAAACCCAGGCCTTGTAAAGCTCGCAGACTTCTGCTGCTAACTTCCGCGGCCAGGAGGCCCCCGAAGAGATCTGTCCACCCATCATGGCCTCTTAGGATTGGGGTTTTAGGGTTTAGGGTTTAGGGTTTAGGGTTGTAGGGCAAATGCTCATAATACTCTCGTGCAGGGGGGCGTTCCCGAAAAGGGGGAGACCCTAAAAATTTTAGAGGAAAAAATCGCGGGACAGCATCTAGAATCCTGATCCAGGATTGAGTAGGGGTGCCCGAAACCCCAGACCCTTATCCCTAAACCCCTACTCAAGTCAAATGCAATTTACGACCGAACTCGATCCATGCAAGTCGCCTCGAACTACCTAGACTTACTGGGGATGGGAATAAGGGAACACAGTCTGAGGTTTAGGGTGTAGGTTTCAGTAAGGAATAAGGAAATCTCTTATTATAGATTATCTTCCCTTATTCCCTACTAAGAACCGGTAGGTAGAAAGCAAGTCTCCACTCAAGAAACGAACCATTGCTGCGGGCGGACTGACTCCTAGACCCTGAACTGCCCTGTTCGCACTTGTGGTCTCAGTGTGGAGACCGCTGTTCCTGCTTGGTTTTGTTTCACAGCGGAGATACTGTTGGGATTCCAAGGATATATATATATATATAAAATACATGCACATATATGGCGGTTGTTCAAAATTCCTTTTCTGGGATTTGGCCAACTTTAGCGAAACAATGTAATCCTTTCGCGTATTCTTTCGCGAAACTTTCGCGGGGCCAATTTTCACATGTGGGTGAACTTGTGGTATCTTAGCTCACTGGTTAGTTAAATTGTGCTCACCACTTGATCATAATGTCTCATGTGATTCTGTTTCTGTCCACCGCGTTGTCACCTGGACGCCGTGTGGCAACTATTCTGCAACGCCACAGTGCTGTTTCAATGCTTACATGGACCGCCGGCTTCACGACAGCCATGAGCTTTTGCGAAGGCTTTCGCGCAACTCGCGCGCAGCTACGGGGTAAGCAGATGTACAAGCCATTGGGGTCTTGCAGTGAACAGTGTACCCCTTGCGAGGTCCCTGACAAGAAACACCCACAATCGGGATTCAATCCCTTTAGGATGATTCACTGGGCGTCTTGGTATGTGATACTGGCGAGCCTCCAAGACAATACCCAAGACGTTGCTGTCACACATCTTTCGCGAAAAAGTGTAATCNNTCGCGTCTTCTTTCGCGAAACTTTCGCGAGCCCTTTAAACCATCTGAAATGGTTGCCCAAGTATAACCCGAAGACACGGACCTTTAGAACAACCCTCGTGGGGTTCCAAAAATTAGGGACGCCTTTTTGGGGGTCCCTATGATGAGGGTTATAGTATTTTGGGTCTATATGAAGCTACCCCTATTTAGGACAACTACCATATGAGGATCATAATTTGACTGATGGGATGCTCCGGAAGAGGCTGCTCCTGAACCTCCGACAATACCCCCAAACCCTAAGCCCTGAACCCTGAACCCTAAACCCAAAGGAAAGAGTTCAATTCCATCAAGAGCCCATCTCGCTGACCAACCCTAAACCCAGCAACTTGGTAGCCGCTGGACACCCAGAATGTGTAAGGATTTGGTAGGGATTGTAAGGCACAGGGGTTTACATGATATGTGTAGCTACTTTTCCCAAAATGAAGCAATTTAGAGAGGGACCTGTAACATAATAGGAACCCCACTATCGAATACTGATTTTAAACCAACCCCCATGTCTGCAAAACTGAACCCTCTGGCCTCCATCACATTGTCCACACCTTGTCTCGTTGGCAGATGGGCTAAAATCTGAGGCACTGCACAAATTGCGTCAAACAGCTAGCCAGGCATACTAGGAAACACGACTGTCATTTGTACTAATACTTAGAAGGGACTATAGGATAAGACCTGGTTATCTGAAGAGTAGAATCCCGAAAAAATCATCCAATGTATCCCAATCATTCATAAAGATGCTCCCCAAGGGACCTGTGACGTTTAAGGAATTGCTCTTGAGGAGTCAGGTCTGAAACCCTGAAAGGGACTTTCCAGTTTGTAGATGTTTCACGACAACCTAAAACATGATTGAGCGTGGCCAGAACATTTTGTGACTCGGAAAATATTCGAATTCCTGGGCTGTGATTACCTGGAGAGACGGAGCTTCTCCAGGCTTGTGATTGCAGTTGCTTGATACAGCTGGAAGTGCCGGTACAGCGCGCTAAGCTTGATCCAATCATGCTTCCAAACGCTCACGGGAATTCATTTCAGCGCGACATTTCAGTGGCAAGGAACCCTACACCCTACCCCCAGGAAAATTGCAACCCTCCAGACTCCAAGAGCTGCTGGTGCTTGCGAAGAGATACGCAGGAAGTGCATGTCAGTTCTGTTGCAAGCGATTGTGTACTTGGAGGTTCAGGGGGACTTAGTAAGTAGGTAAATAACCCCTGTAAGCCACATGGTAACCCTAGCTGTCCCTTTAATTAACCTCTTTGCTAAGCCCCCCTGACCCTAAACCCTCCATAATATAGTAGCTTCCATTTTATTTTCCATTATGACTAAGAACCCTGACCCTCCAAGTAGGGATTAATTATATTGCAAATCACTTCTCTCTTCTCCTGAATCACCAGCAAGAGGATCACACTGCTGGGCCCTACTGAATCCTTTCCCCAAGCCGCTGAATCCTAAACCCTGAATCCTAAAACCCTAAACTAAAAACCCGAGACCCTGAACCGTAAACCCTACATCCCAAACCCTACATCCTAAACCCTAAACCCCTAATCCTTCACCCTGAAACTCTAACTGCACTCTAAACCTGCTCGGCCACACTCACGCGAGTAGTAGGGCTCCAGGACACGGTACAGCCAGCCCCCCTCCGACGGCTTTGGCTCCGGCGAAGGCATGGACTTCCTCGGTAGGTCTGCTTGAAGGTTCATATATAGAGTA